TACCAACGGGGCGTTCGCTGGCGCTCTGCTGGCAAGCGTCTGCCCCCGGCATGCCTGTCTCAGCCAAATTGGGCTATTCTTTTCTCCAGATGCTACCGATGCAAGCGTGGCTGGTCCAGCCTGTGGTAGGCGCGCGGCGGTGCTTCGACGTCCCCCAGGTGATTCTTGCAGCCCGCCACTCCGCAGGGCTCGGCCGCAGCGGCCGAGGCACGCGAAGGGGAATGGCGATTGATTTTGTGGCAGACCACCAGCGGGGCTCACGCTTCGTCTTCGGAGCTTGACGAGGACGGCGTTGCCGCGATTCCCCATCAACAGGGCAAGCAAATCAAGCGGGCACTCTCTGTGAACAAGATTCGCTTACTCAAGACTTCCTCTGGCAGCAGCTCCTGGAGAAAATGGACCCGGAGAGATTCCTGCTGATGATCCCAATGCCGAACTTGATAGCGATGACGAAGTACCTGCTCAGCCAAATTTGATACCTTCTGCCGACCAGCTGACCGACCTCGAACTTGCTCGCGACATCTCGTGTTATCCTGGGACTTGAGATTTCACTCGGCTTTTGAGACGGGGCGCTGCTAGGCCTGGGATGGCGCGCTGGGTGCTGGAACATTCGAGGTGCGACGAGAGCGGTTTGCGCAGACGGCTTTATGCTCGCCGTCCTGCTGTTGTCCCTAAATCCAACCGTTTCAACCGTGCTGTTGGTGTAATTTTTGTCGAGGTCAAGTGCCCACTTCATTATGCGCCTCTTTATGTTGATCAATATCATATGCTGTGGCGGTTCCATTGAGTTGTCTAGGCACGTGGGTGGGGGGGGGCAGGGGAGTCAGCAGTTGTAGCATGGCTGGGATTTGTGCGCACATGGGCACGAGTGTCTGGCATGGCAGAGGTTGTTGTAGTAGATCCTGGAATGGAGTTTCAGGGAACGTTGGCCGATTGCATGCGAAGAGGCGGCGCGTGCTTATTTCCTGCAGATGCCCGCTCTCCATGGCAGAACGGTCGAATGGAACGTGCTGGAAAATATTGGAAGCGCCAGCTCCTTTTAGCCGTTCATAGGGTAGCTCCAGATACTCTAGCCGAGTGGCATGCTCTGTGGGGATTGTTGTCGCGTTCGGAACCGTTGCCAGAACTGGAGTAGTTTCTCACCTATGCGACGGGTCTTCGGTTCTACGCAACGTCTACCAGCGACAATGCTCTCCGACGATCCGAGCATCTGTCTGCCGACACAGTGCAAGATTTTCGCCGGGCGGAAGGATTGCGCGAGCCGCTGCGACAGCTTGGACTGCCATGGGCAACCGAATTCGCCTACTTTGAGTTCTCCGTGCTCGTCACCGCATTCCATCTACCTTCGCGGAGGGCCCACTCATTTGTGTTTGGAGACAAGGGCGAATTGGATCGGGGAAGCGGTATGGACTTGGGGTAATCATTATAGCTACTGGTGGTGGTGTATAGATTCGCGCGCGAGGAGCATTGCGGCGTGTGTCTAACAAACCAAGGCGCAGTGCCGCCCATGATGAGAGTGGGGGCATCGAGATCGTTAATCGCTATCTTCGTGACCTCAAGATTGATCTCGAGCGCGCTCGTGGCGCTCGTCGCAAAGCCGAGGTCGCCAGAGAAGGAAATGCCAGATACCCTGGAGGTGAGCCTCTACACGACCGTGAAGCGGCAGAGGTCGACGGAATCCCCGACGATTCCGACATCGATGCCGATCAGGAACCACAGCCACCACCGCTAGAAGCACCCTATTTTCCCAATGACGGACAGTTATGACGAATTTGGATTGGCACGCGCGGCACCTCGGAGTGACGTCAGTTTGACTTCGTTTAGGCACCGCTTCCTCTGCCGAACCGCAGAGCGAGACAGGGTCGGGACAGCCTTCTGTGGCATGGGCGCCGGGGGGGACCTCCAGTGCAATTGCCCGCGACTCAGGCGTGCCTTGGCCCGCCGCTGCGTCGTCGCGCCCGCCGCCGCGGGCGCCGACTGCGATCGCGCCTCCTGGTCTCCCATCTGCGGATTCCGCAGACGGACTGGTTACTCACTATGTGGACAGCAGTCGTGATGTTCAGATAACAGATGATATGTTGGGAGCGCACAAGACCCCCGACCTGGAGAACATCTACACAGCCTGTCAATCAGAAGCAGCCTGCCTCAATATTTCGTGGTCGTTCTTGATCAAAAAGAAACGGGCCGAGGGCGAAATTAATATCAATCCGCTACCTGATCATCTTAATGGCAGCCGTCGCAAAGAGCAGTGCGAAATCCGCGCTGCGGGACTTGGCGGCGAGAACAGCGCGCGTTCACCGGGGCGCTGCTGCCGCAGAAATCAACCGCTGATTGAAACACCCCTTCTCGATGGCACGACGAATTGACAGATGAATGGCCCGATTGCGACAGCAAGCTCAATGATTTTGTTGTCCCGAAGAAGCATGACGCTGAATCGCGATGGACGATGCGAGGATTTCATGACCCTGGCGTCGCAGCGTTGAACCGCACTGCGCCTGCGCCTTCGACATCAGACGTGCCTCTTGCTCTGCAGTGCTTGTCCTCTATCAAGGCTAATGCTTGGGCGTGCGACGACGCGTCAGTCTTCGCTCAAGGACTCCGGAATCAGCGGGGTGATCTTTTTTTGTCTCACCACCGCGGGCGGCATTCCTGACGAGGGCCCCGACGAATGGCTGGTGGTTGAAGTAGTGACAGTTTACGTGCTTGTTACCAGCCCTCCAGGCTGGCGCAGAAGTCTTCTGACAGGGTTCACGGTGTAATTGCGGCTTCGCTCGCCATCCTTCGCCATGCCTATGCATGAGACTCTCGACGGACGCCCTGAGCAAGTTTCGGGTCTCTTCGTCATCAAAGCAGATGATTTGTTGGGAGGCGGTATTGGAGATAGATTTTCAATATCATTTGTCGCCCTCGGAAGTGGACGGCGCTACTGAGCACGGCGGGCGCGCTTTGCGGCGACGGAAAAATTGACTCCACCCGTTCCATCGCGCGGTACCTTGCAGAGCGAGCTCGGCCGACTAGTGCCCCACGGGGATGCTACAATAACCTTGAATTGCTGGCTGCGCCAGGTGGCGCGCGCGGGGAACTCAATTTGGACGCGCCGAGAAGGCGTGCCCAAAGGCTCGGAGGATGCACCTTTCCTGAGCAGCGCTCTGCCCGTCTCCAAGTTGACAGACCTCGAGGCAAATTCTGCGCTGCGACGCCTCGGGGGCGCCAATGCCATGATCGCCGTCAAATCCATGCCCTTTTCTCGTCTCCGCCTGGTCTCTCGGTGCGACTCGGGGCTGGATCTCAAGTGCGCGGGGCAAGGTCGCTCCCGGACAGGCGGCGTGATCTGTGCCGCGGATGAAGATCTCTTGGCGGGAAAGAAAGCTGACGTCAGTAGCATTACTTGGCATTCCCACAAGACCGAGCGCATTGGGAGCTCTACTTTAGCGGTGGAAGCCAGTGCCATGTCTTAGGTTTTGGCAGAGGCCAAGCTGTGTAATCACTTGGTCGCTATTTGTCGATAAGCACCGAGATCGATGCGAGCTCCGAGATCGATGCGAGCTCCGAGATCCGAGATCGACGCGCAATGGAGCGAGAAATCCGATGGGACGACGATCGTGGAGCAAAATCCCGACATGTATATTATCACCGTGGCCGACGCGAAATCCCTGCGCGCCTGTATCATTCGGGAACAGTTCGCATCGACCGAAATGCGAGCTGCCCTGGAGATTACAGTGATCCGGGACTCCCTGGAGAACCGCGGCGGTCAGTGTCGCTGGTGTCCACGCGAAGTTAGCCCTGCAGACGGTTTGGCGAAGTTCAAAGGGAACGCGCAACCTCTCCTACAATTTATGCCAGCGGCTAAATTGCGCACTGCTGGGGAAAAGGGGGAGATTGAAAGGAGAAAAGGCGGACGCGCCCTGCCCCCCGCAAAAGGAAAGATAGCGCGCTCTCTCGCAGCACGGGCCCCCCCTAATTGTACTTCGTGTCTTCCTGTATTCAATGCAGCTACTCCCTTACATTCCACATCTTTCCTATCTCTCGCTTCCCCGCTCCCGTGCACGCCGCGCTTCGCAAATCGTCCCAACCAAAAACAGAAGCACATTCTCAGCTCCGACGTTACAGGATACAGTAACTTCGGGAAAAGTCACGACCGGAACCCTAGCGCTTAAACCCCATCTTTCGTTGGCACGTATCGAGCCAGGTCGGTCTGTGATGACCCCAGGGCCCGAAACGGGGCGGAAACGCCCAGTGTGACGAAATTTGCAACGTTTGGATCCTAGGGTCCTTCCTCCCTCCGCCCACCTCCCTTGCATAGTGTTTGCGTCTGCCTCTGTTCATGGTAGGCCGACAATGACCCCCCCGCGGTTCAATGGTTCAACGATCTCCCTTCCTCGATATCGGATCCGCCGTTGTTAGGGTTATTTCGTAGGTCTGGCGAACATGCCCGCCCTATTGTTCAAGTTCCTTTGATGTCGGTGTCCGCCCTGCGTTGCCGTCGGTGTTTGTCGCCACACATATGCTGACAGATTCGCCTCATTTTTTCCCGAGGCGGGAAACTCCGCCTTGCTCGTTCGCATCGTTTTGGGGTGCATTTCCGACTCAAGTGTTGGTCGGTCGGCGAACCAAAGTCCAATTAAAACGTCCAGACGTTGAAATAAGGACCACTATGGGGTAAGGGGAGACTCTTGTTTTCGGGCCGTTCCTCGGGTCTACGTCGGGGAATCCACTCGAAACCGAGGTTCGCCGTGGCCAGAACAATTCTGCCGTTCCTTCCTCATCGTTCCTTCTTTTAGCGCAGTGGCTGTACGGCAGGCCCGAAGTCAGGGCTCCGTGCTGGTCCCTGGTACCGTTCGGACGTGTGCACTTTTTCTCGGCGGGGATTAGTGAGGAGCCTCCTGGGATCGTCCTGCGAAAGAACCACGCACGAAACCGAACAGCGCACAGGGAGTGGCACGTCCGAGCCACGGAGAGGGCCCCGACGGCCGCGAGCAGGGCGCGCGCTCCCCGCCCAGGACATCGGCGCAGGCCCGCCGGGCCCCCAGGGCGCTGCCGCCTCTGCGGGGTGCGGCGCCCGGCTGCGCTGGTGCGAGCAGCTGCCCACGCAGATCGTCTGAGGGGTCTGTTAGGCCTGCAGCTCGGGCGCCCGGCGTGCGGAGAAAGGCACCGTGGCCGCGCGGGGGGAGCGGGGTGTCGGTCGGGCCTGTCCCTGCACAGGGGGGATCTCCAAAAATAGTCCAACAAAAATAGTCTGGGGACTACTTTTTCTGTATTTTCGGGCATTTGTTGAGCATTCGTTGCGTATTTTTTATTTTTCGTCCAAAATCCCCCTGTAGCTGGAGCTGGGTGCACAGTCGGCCCTGATTAGTAGGTCGACCCTGCCAAATCAAGGGTACCCTTGTGTCCTGTGTCTCGCGGCCCATGCCGCCGACATTCCTGTGGCAATGTGGCCCTCGAAAGGGTCTTGTGACATGTGTCCTCTCGCGCGTCCTGTCCAATCAAGTCCGACTGTAACTGGGTGCGCTCTTCTGGCGTTTGCTGCGACGCTCGTTGCTGGCACAGTGGAAAAAGGAGGGCATCTCGTCGGGAGCCACGAGGCCGGGGTCGATGCAGACGGGGGTCAGCCGGAGCGCCAGACCTTGCAGGAGCTTGCAGAGCCAGGGGTGCATGGACCCGGGTCAGCGCGCAGGATCTTGCAAGATTTTGCGAAGCCCCATTGGCCCAGGTTTGCATTGACCCAGGGAAGTGCGTCCCCGAGGCATCTTGGCGGCGAAGTCCGCAGGGGTGGAGAGGGGGGTCGGGAGGAGGGGTCCCGGAGGTTGTGCCCCCCAGCGGGGGGGAGCACCCCTCCTTGGGAGAAGCTTTGGGCTCGGAGCGTCGTCGTCGTCGTCGTCGTCGTCATCGCCGTTGTCGTTGCTATTTCCGTCGTCGTCGTCGTCGCCCCCCTTCAGGGTCGGCGATACTGGCCGGAAGGCCTTCGCAATAGTTCGAAGTCTACCTTCGCCGATCAACGATTCAGGCGACTCGATGTGCGGAGGAGGTAGGGTTTGGAATTCGTCGAAAACGTTGCGAAATCCGAACCCTACCCCCACCTCCCATCGATTCAAGAGAATCTGTGGTTGGTGGGAGTAGGGTTCGGATGTCGCCACCTGGCAACCTTTGGGCGGGGCTAGGACAGGGGGAAATAATTTCAGATGGTTCGGGCACGCTCTCAGAGCGTTCCTGAACGCTCTGAGAAGGCGGCGGCGCCCAGTACATCCTCCATAACCGCCAGATCTCAGAGGTCCCCGACTTGACTTATCTTGCTCTGATGTTGTCCCTGTCCTGGCCTCGTCTGACATCGCTGGGGCGTTCTGTAATGAATGGGGGGTTGGGAGAAAAAGGTGCAACTATCGTGCACCTTCGGGGCCCTGAAGGGCCCCCCTGGGGCCCAAAGGGTGCACGAAAGGTGC